GCCGGACAGTCCAATTCATTACTTTGACATCATTTTAATTTTCCTCTTCTTATTTTCCACAACAATAAAACGGATATATGTGCCCATTAGTGCCAGAACAACTGTCAAAAGACAAACTATGAACCAACAGCACTTACATACATAATATCTTCAGAACATTAGGTAACGAGTCAACAATTTCATTCATAATTCAACAAATAACAACAACCATTCTGTAAGGGAGAAGAGAATAGTCAAACAATCTGTGTCAACTTTTTAGAACGTATGAATATCATTCTGGATAACATCAACAAATGGCAGTTTCGGGTGCCTTATAAGCAATATAGATTACTATTGTGATTAAGATTGAATTATTCACAAATTCACATTTTCAACTTCTTTACTCTTCGTCATCCTCATCACTCTCTTCCTCATCTTCGTCTTCTTCCTCGTCTTCGTCCTCATCATCTGACTCTGGTTCTAACGGGCGCTAAAAGTGACGATTACACTCACAAAAATAAAATAAAACTGATGACTCAAGAAACGCTAATTTTTCTGTATTAACAATCACAGTACACGGTAGCCACGCAATTAACTGTCAATTACATGCCCCATAATTTGGTCGGACGGAGCCATCTTTCACAAAGGTCAATAGAACAGAGCAAAAATTATAAAATGAAAAAGATTCATATTGGACAGAAAGAACTTTCGTAGGTGATCTGGAAAGTAATCTACAGAATGGGCCAAAATTATGATAATCGTGGGTACGACCGCTTAAACGTGCCAGTCATTAAATTTAACCGACAAAATGTTCTGGCAGGCTACATCTAGCGAGAATTCTACGCAACTAAAGTTTCCACTGGCAATGATTAAATGTTACAACAGTTCGAAATCACCTCAGATGAGAATGGCGGAGATTCAGGAGTACAACTATCGCCAGGACCAATTTCAAATGCGAAAAAACGCCCTCCTCCTTGATATTTTTTGCCCCAAAATAAGGAAATTGATTTAAAAGCCTACTCGGACACCGAAGATCTGTCATGTACAAAAAGCCATTCGAGAACATTACTTTGAACTTTCCAAAAGCCCACAGCATCAGGCCAAGAGGCAGAAATTCCGCCAAGTCTTTCGAGCCCATGGTTTCAAGGAATTGTTGCCTAAGATTCCCCTGCCTAATTCAGCTGGTTCTCTTGCAGGGTAAACCTGGATACTAATGCAAGCGTAAAGCCCCCCACAAATGTGATTCCTGATAAAGGCGCAGCAGCACCTCGTAAAGTGACCCCAATTCTTTCGAAGTGCCATGAATTGAATTTGGAAAGGGGAGTGAGTTTGCTACCAACACCAGCTTCTAGGATGTCCAGCTGCTGAACTAGAATTCAGCAACTGGACGTCCTATATATCTATCATGGTTGTTGAACTTTAAAGGACGAATTCACGATGAAAAGCAACCCATTTCAAATTAACCTAGGGATGGTGAGTGGTACACGAAAGAAGGAAGAACCATGAGAAACGGCCCAGAACCCGAGAAATGGGACCCCTTCCTTGCCCGTTGATTTGAGCATTGATGCGACTCTCATCGCTGTGCCCTCTTCAACACTACGCTCTCTCTGCTATCTAATCACTCGCCACGTATAGACCTGCGGCGAGTGATTAGATAGTCGGTGGGCGTACCCGCCAACCGCGCCAAGAGTGAGACATGACTATACATCGCCGAGCAGCGACCCCGCCGACCGCGCAACAATACCATGGTAAGTTCGCCGATGTCAAATTGTGGCGCAATTGCGCGTCAGCCTGCGCCCTAAGGAGGTTCGCCGGTCTCTCAATTAGGTAAATTCCTCCTTTAGGCGCGACCGACCGCAGCATCGAGGTATGATGTTTTTTGCTTTTTACACCTGCAATCCCTTGCAATTCGGCACAAGCGGAGAATACTTGCAACATACTCACTGACTAACAATTCCAACTCTGGGAGAAATGCTACGTAACCAATCCATTTCCTCACGCTAGAATTGACTGGAAAAACTTATCCATGACAGGGTGAGTGAGCCCACAACCGCAGAAATTGCACAGCCTTCTCAACTAACACCGCATGACAGGGGCGATGGGAGCTCACTATTTACATCAATGCACATCTTTGCATAAATGCCCATCACTATGCGATCCTTCACGTCGGCTTTCTGTTACTGCTCCCGTCTAGAGTCTTTTCCACCGCCTCAGCCTACGTACCACTTAATCGTGAATTCCTCCTTTAAGCGCGACCGGTGCAGTTGAGTCTTTTCCACCGCCTCAGCCACGGTATCACTTACACAGTTTGTGAAAAGTCCACAGCACAAAATAGAGGCCTTCTACCGCCAGTGCATTCCGTTCATCTTCTCACTTGCTAGTTATAATAATGATGCACTTTGCACTGTCGCATTGATTTCTGAGCGGACGTAACAGATCATGGAATGTGCCTTTGAAACCCAGGCAGGTAATGAGACTTTTTAAGCACGATGGGAAAAACGTTTGAGAACAAAGCTTTTCGAGATAGGTGAAATGACCGAAAAGGCATTGATAAAAGAAACTGGCCATGCTAACGAGAACCGCTGCCCGTGCTGGCAAATAAGGTCATGAAAAGAGGATGTCTTGCGGGAAATTCCGACATTAAACCCGGTCAAGTGCAAGCAGCACGCATGCGCATCTACGAAGATCAGGCCTATGCCTTGTTACAGACCGGAGGAAACAGACCTTTCCAGGCGTGGCCTTCTTCGCTGGGGATCCAACAACTTCTTCTATTCCTTCATCACTTGATTCCACCTCCTCTTCGTCACTGTCATCACTCTCGTCTACTTTGGGCACCGCTGTTGGCTTCTTTACCGAAGCTGCACTCGCATTTTGCACAGAAGTTGCACCCTAAGATGGCTCTTTTCCACTATAAAACCAAGTGCACGAATTTGAAGAAAGTGGATGTACCTTTGAAGGTTTTACCGTTGCATTAGGTAGAACTTCTTTGCGCATTCGGGCAAAAAACACTTCAACAGACCGTCCAGCGAGTTTCAGACCTTTACTCTTGTCAAAAGCCAACTTGGCATCCTCCTCAGTAGAGAACAATATAAATGCACGCCTGCAAAATTTTATTTACATTCTGTCAAGCACTGAGGCTGGATAAGGTTCTTCTCGTACAATTGAGATAATGCTCAAAATGTCACCTTAAATCGTGAGGTCGGCCTTTGGGAATGTTTATGGAGACAGCAGCTCGGAAGACATTCCTGATATCTTCCTTGGTGACATTCGCTGGTAAACCGTTAATGTATAGCTCCAGAGGATTCAACGGCACTGACTCTGAATAAGCAGAATTGTCACACAAGAATAGATCTCTCAAGTTGCATTAGTGAAAGTTCTTTAAGTGAAACAAAAACTGTACTACAAAGTGTATTTTATGTGAAAATCGAGGTCTCGTCGTACCCACGGCGCGCACCCATGTACCAAGATGACTTTGTTGCCTAGCATGCCAGCATGAAGACGAACAAGTAAAGAGCAAGCGTATTGGGTGATGACCAGGGTGGATAACGGTCGAGGATT